CAGCCGACAGTTACAAATCGACCCCAGCGACCCACCATTGTGTATTTAATGCGAAAAAAAATGTGTTTTCAAAAGTGTGACGTCTATAAAATTCTGTTCATCAAAACACGGTCTTGGCAGTCTGTGGTTATGTTGCTGAAATACGAGTGATATTTCTCTGAATTTGTTTTCGCCCCTGGTGTGTTGACATTCAATTCATTCTATCAAACCAATTCGTGTAGGGCTACATTGTAGACTGGTTTCGCATTTTTCCGTTGGTCCTCAGACTCTCATCCAACCGACGACTGTGATAAATAACACTCTCAGGACTTTCTAATTCCCGTCTGACATTTAGAGAGTTCAAACATTTTTGGTTCGAAAGACTGAAACTCCTTTAGTCTATCTGGGTCTGTTTAGATGATAGTTGCATGATTTAGTCGACTAACCAGAATGTTACAATTCACGTTCATTGTAGCCATTACTGTTCATCTCCTTGGTCCTGCCACGAGGCCAGATTATTAGGTCTGAGTTTCTTTTTTGCCGAAGAAGCAGCTGCATATGAATGAGTGCATGTTTCTGACATTCGTCCTTTCCAACCCTCATGGAATCACTGGGAAAATGGCAGGAAGAATGATTCCCGTCGCCAGCCTCTAAGATTTACCAAAACACAACATTACTTCAAGACCATTTATTTCCTACGTGTCTATCGTTTTCTCGGGGCTATCTGTATAATCATATAGCATTGTATCCTTCCAATTTTTGTAAACCTAATACCCCACATGCCAATGGATTCTTTGTGAAAAATTGATCAGTATCAGGATCTTTTGAATTTTTCAAGGCATCCTCTTTACTCTCATTGCCTTGCAAATGTCTTCAAATCGGGTTGGATGGATAGGGTTATAATTTGACAGTGATTTCACTTTAGGGATCTGGTCTGCATGAAAATCTCTGATGTACGGTTTTAAAACCCCAAAATCCACTCTCAGAAGTTTCTCTTACCTGTTTCCCTAGAGAGAAGCCTCAAGGAATTTGCCCAGTATAATTTCCAATCTCTTAATAAAAACAAGGCAAACTTGCTGAATTGAGTAGATCCATGCATCATCGTTGGATTGCATTTGTATCAATAATCATTAACCCCGGAACTTGGAGGGGCATCTCTGGAGTGAAACGAGATTCGGTCAATTGTCCACAAGTTGAAAAGTTTTAAATAAGTCTGCCCAATCAAGTATATGCTTGGCCTGCGATTTTGTGTCGAATATTAGGTCGACTATTTACGGACCTTTCTGAAGCCTGATTGTAGTTGCGCTTGAAAAGAAAAGGTTGGTCCAACACCACAGTCTTTGATGTTACGTTCATTTGTCGCACTGCTTGTGACGGAGACTATAGTAGTTGAATTGCCAACGGTCATTGTGAAAAACACGGTCAATGTGAAGAAAATGGAGAAGTTGAAGTCTATATTAAAGTATGAAAAAGAAAGTCAAACATGATTTTCATACTTTCATGAAGCTGGTATATAGTTCTGATCGGGTTATGTAAAGTAATATTTTAAGTTTATTATCTTTTGAAGTTCCCTGATGGATAGTAAAACTGGCAGGAAAACAGTGCAACTTTTACGAGGGATACCGGTACTTTCACACTCCTTCCAGCTTTCTGACTAACCTCGTCTTGTTTGTCTTAATTCAAGGCCCTCGGGTATTCCTCCGCCTGTCTGATTCAGTTATGACGACAAAATTTGGAGGGAGTTAGAGATATTTAAGGTCTACACCTAGTGTCCAATCAAATATACTAAGGGTTTATTCCAAAAGCTAGGCCCAGTGCAAAATCAATTTGCTAGTTTGTTTTGTCCAAACAGCATATACAGAACAAGGATTTCTGGATATTTGTTTAGTCCCACAGTTTTGTCCTTTGGTAAGTCGTCTTGCCTCTGGGTTTCCATCAGTAATTACTGCTGTAATAAGCTACACAAATTGACCTAGCGTGCACGTGGAAGCCAGTATCAATAGTAAGAGGCTGAGGTGGCTCCCGATTTGTTACCAGCTATAAGTTATCGATTCTCTACTTTGAGAGAGTTCCCCTCAGTTTGTGTGTGAGTTAGTCACCGTTTTCTCCCAAATGACCTTTGAGTAACGAGAGCGTGCGACTTGACACATCTGTATCTTTTGTACTTGCAGGCCTCGTGAAGATCGAAATGGGAGCTTTTTTTGACCGCCTAGTTATGTCACTGGTTATCCTGTCGTCCCTATCTTACTGCGTGGATAGCCTTTGTTATGCTTCAGGTAACGTACATGAATGCCTCGTCTAACACAAAGGCGTGGAGCCTTTACGATAATCAATACCAAAAAGAAGTCCAAAGCATAGTTCGCTACGTATACGCAGACAGCATCGCCGATCACTCTCAAACGGTAGCAAATTCCACCGGTACAAACGTAGGCATAGGCTAGATACATGCACTCGAAAAAGTAAGATCATATTCAACTTTACACACTGTCTGCGTCGAGTCACAAAATTTGGCCTACAAAGCCTCGTTTCTATTGTTCCTGACGATAGCGAACAGCACGCACGATGTCAATTAGAGACGGGAAATGGGCGTGCGCTTGTACATGGTGCCTTGTGGGGTACGGAACAATGGAAGGTACCCTACAAGGCCAGTGTTGATCCTTGTTGGGTGCTAAAGTGGTACCCCACAAGAATTTCACGAAATATATATTTCAAATTTACTCTAAACAGAGGTATTTTCAAGTGCCATTCATCCATCGCAAATTGGAGTGTTTTATGTAAGGGACATACGGTCGAAATTTCAACCCAGTAAACTGAATTTGGTTGAAATGGTAGTGATTCGAAATTTTTTCCGTGTTGTGTGGGTGTTTTGTAAACGAGAACAAAGTAAATACCCCACAAGTATACAACTGTAAGGGTGTGTAGCGTCGTGAGTTTGTTTCTGCATTCAATTGGGGACCCTGAACAATAGAGGAC